TGCTGCTCTCCCTTGCCTTTTTCAGTTCAACTTTTTTATGTAGATGTGAATATATGGAGACTTCCGATATGGTAATGGAGCAATGTGCGTTAAGGTTTTGCCCTAGAACTAACTTTAGAGCCCTCGAAGGCAGTTGTATAGCAACTTGTAGAAGTTATTTAAATGTATCCGACAAAGCAAAGGGAGGCTGTAATCGCCATTGCTGGCTTATTAGGCGTCATCAACCAGCAATACCCAATTCCAATCCAGATCCGTCATTTTGCAAGTCTGTAAACGTTAACTTCACCAACTTCCACCTGAAAAAATAGATGGGGTTGGGTGTATCGTAAAAAGTTGGACAGAATGATGTATAGATTTTTTACGCATAAAAATGCCCCAAATTTTTGATAAAATGAAGTTTGCTAAACACACGTTCAGAAGTAATCTGAAGTTATTTCATACAAGAATGGTTTGAATCACAATATCACAAGTACCATTTCTTATGCTGCATTGCATACTACGTTGCTGTGTTTTCTGTAAACATGCCACTGCTAATTTGGCGTTATCGTTTTTTTCAGGAAAAGGCGGAACTGTTAGCCGCAAGCAGTCAGGAAGCTCAAGTTTTACAAAACGAGATCAGCCTATGTCGTCAGCGAGAGGCAGATATTCTGCTCGCCTATGAGGAACTTCGACACAGGGTCGAGTCCATAGACAACATAATACAGGAGGTTCGAAAAATATTTCACATGATGCTACTTAATAATTACAAGTAGACATTATTTATAAACTTGCACTTCTATCCGATAGGTTCCCTGGCTGGAACAACTGTTCAATTCCAACGAGCCGATCTCAGTCTGTGTGAAGAAACTGAAAGGTGGGTCACCTGTCGAGCGCAGGATCTCCACCACTGACACCACTCCTCACCTATCTCCAGCCCACCACCCACAGATGGCCGATCAACCAGCGGACTACCGCTGGTCACGCGACGGCGGTGAGGAGGAGAGACCAGTTCAGAAATTTCGGCGCTCTGGCAGCGACTCGCCCC